CCTATAAGTCTGCGTGGAAGCTGACATTTCAGAAGCCAGACTCCCTTCCCCCCCCCCCCCCAGAATCCTCTGCATTGGATTCACTCTCATGACGTCACCCCAAAGGCTTATGTTGGCAAGATCGAGAATAGGACATAACCGGTGACATTGTGTTAACAGATTAGTTCTCTTGCATAATTTATTATGCCTGACCCTAATTCCTTCTTGATGGGCATTTGGCAGATACTGCTCACCCTGGCCTCTCGGGAAGCTGCTCGGAAGCTGCGTCTTGTATACATAGGCCTTGGGGTCCATTTGGTGTTTGCTAGCCCCTGAGAAATGGTTGAGCTGAGTTTAGTGCACATTTACTGAGTATCTTTGCAGTGCCAGGCCCTGCGGGGCTGGGGTGGGGACACAGAGATGAAAGACACAGTCCCCGCCCAAGAGATGCCCTGATGAAATGGGGAGAGGAGGTGGAGTCCATGCCATGCGGCTCTGCCTGGGGCGGGGGGTTGCCTTCTTGTGGGAGATGGCATCCGCGATGGGCCGAATAACGCCTCCCCACAAATGCATGGCCACCTGGAACCCAGAATGTGACCTTATTTGGAAATAGGGTCTTTCAAGATGTAATTAAGGTGAGGATCAAGATGAGATCCTGCTAGTTTCGGGTGGGCCCTAAGTCGGGTAAGAGACAGAAGAGGACACACTCGGACGAAGGCCATGTGATCCTGAAGGCAGATTCTGGGGTGATGGAGCTCCAAGGTAAAGAATGACAGTTTGTCTGATAATGAAGCCCTTCTTTGCACCCAGAGCAGCCCATATGCTCCCGTGATGTTTAGGGCCCATTCACTTGCGCTTCTGCTCATTCATCCTGCAAATGCGTCAGCACCATTTGTGTGCCAAGTACTGACTGAACTTGGCCTAGAGGTTCATAGGGACCAAGACTCTGTGGGCTCCCATGAAGAGCTCCCCTTCCAGTTCCGGTAACGAGTCTCTACAGTGCAACAAAGTGGAAGGAGGGGGAATAAAGGAAGGGAAGAGGGAGGGTGTAGAAAGGTTGGAGAAGCCTCCACGGAAGAGGTGAAGGCCAAGTAAGAGTTCAGTAGGCAGGGCAGGGAAAGGCATCATGGCCGAGGGAATAGCATGGGCGGAGGCACAGAGGACACGCACGGCGGGTTGGAGTGAGACAGGGTTGCGTCAGACATCCTGGGAAGGACCAAGTGTCTGAGTAAGACCCGTCACAGTCGTTGTCCTCTGGGACCCTGCAGATTTTTGTTATAGGCGGCGAAGGTAAATTCAGCCACTTTCTTCTTGCAGACGCTGTTTTCTCTTCTGGCTCCTCTCCTGCTCACTGGTTTATGTTGGGACAGGGTGTTTGACGTTTTTGTTAGTGTTTTCTTGCTTAGCTCTTACTCCACTTCATTTTTGCCCCTGCCCTTGTTGCCTGTTGAGATGATTAGTCAGGCTATCTGACATTTTTTACTTAAAATGTTTCAGTTTAACCGCCGCCGGCTAAATATACTTTGACCTCAGCTCTGGACTGATTCTCTACTCAAACAGTGAGATGAAGAGATGAAGGAAGCCTCGTGCCAAAACGTTCTCTCTCTTTCTTTTTGGACTGAGATTATCCTCAGCAGATTGGAAAGCATCCATTATGGGCCGAGGGGCGTTTTGCAACCCAGTTCAGATACGGGGTTTGGCCGGGGGGATGCCCAGGTGTGTGAATGCACCTGCCACGGAGGTGTCTTACCTGACGCATGAAGCTGGCCCGCCACGTGTGTCCGAATGTGTCCGGCCCTGGTGCCATCTTTATAAACTCCAGGGGACAATTTACTTAGTTCTTCTGTGCCCCAGCAAGACTTGGACCAGCTCCGAGTAGCCACAGACTCGGGCGGCTTATAACATTTTGGATTTAGACGAAGGGGAAGGAAAGTGGAGACATTAGCAAGTCTCTGACAGAAGGAATTTTGGAGGCCACAGAAGGAGTTTATGGATGGCAAGACTCCCACTTCCAATTCCAGGCGAATGGGACCCTCTGGGATCAGCTCTCACCCTTCAGGCTTGACCTCGGTGGGCTGTGCTACTTCTTCCCCAGGGTGAGAGAGGGGAAGGGGGCAAGGAGACAGGGATCCCTGAGCAGAGGATCTGAGGCGCTTACACCAGGGGCTATCCACAGGGACGTGGGAGTTTGAGATGGAGGGGGGAGCAGAAAAGGCAGGGCCAGAGACAGGCGGGTGCTGGTGGCAAAGGCCCTGGAGGCTGGAGAAGGGATTGGGGGCTCTATGCAAAGGTCTCTGGGAAGCTGTAAAGTCATTTTAAGCAGGAGAGGAATATGAACTGGGCTGTGTTTTAAAAAGATTAGCCTGGCTGTTGTTCAAGGAAGGATCAGAGGTGGGCAGGAGTAGAAGCAGCAAGGGCCACTTAGGAGGCTGGCCAGCGATGACAATGCAGTGAAGACGGGGGGACCGAGGTGTCTGCGGTCCCTGACATGGATGCAGTGAGGAGAGGCATCTCTGAGCAGAGACCTGAGGGAGGGGAGGGAGAGAAGCCCGCCGGTGAGGCATCTGGGCCAAGCGTGTTCCACTGCAGGGTACGGTGCGTGTGACACAGATGTGCATGTGACACGGATGTGCAAGCCCAGAGGCCAATGTGGCCGACGCTGAGTGGGGGCACTCGGTGGGAGGTGAGAGCAGAAGGGGAACAGCATGAGGGGGGGAGCAATCTTGCGGGTCTCTGGAAGGCATTGGAGAAAGCTGGGAAGGCTTTGGAGAGGGTTTTGTTCTGTTTTTTAATTAAAAAAATGTTTTATTACCTTTTTTTTTACTTTAATCCCAGTATAAGCTCTGGAGAGTTTTCAACAGGGGAGTGACCTCTTCTGACTTATATGTTTGTGAAAGAGGTCCCAAGCCTCTGGGTGGAGAGAGATCCGGGGGCGATCGGTGGTGGAAGCCGAGATGGGTGCAGATGATGCACAATGGCGGCTTGGACCAGAGTAAGAGCCGTGGCTGGTGGGGTGGCTGGGGGTGGGGAGTGCCGCCCAAACCAAACCGAGTGGGGGGTGAGGGAGAAGAGCCAAGAGCAGCGTCCGAGGCTTCGGGCCCGAGAAGCTGGGACACAGGTGTTTCCCTTTTTCAGGCTGGGGAAGCCTACTACGGGAGGAGTTGGTTTGGTGAGGAAACAGTGATCGGGAACATGTCGACTTGGAAGTATTTAACATCCAAGTGGAAACATGGAGTGAGCAGTGGAGTCTGGAAGTGGAGAACAGTGGGAAGTCGGCAGCGCGGCGGGAACGAAAAGCCATGCACGAGGGGACTCACTACCCGCCCCCCCCAGGGGCGTGAGGGTAGATGTGCAAAAGGCGTAAGGGCTGAGCACTGGGGCGGGGTGGGGGGGCACCACCCTTTACTAGTTGGGAAAGAAAGAGACAAGAATGAAGTGCAGGGAGTAGGAAGAGAGGGTGAGCGGTATCCCAGAGGCAGAGTGAGGAAGGCATTTTGATGGAGGGAGGGTCCTCTGTGTGGTAGGCTGCTGACTGGTCAAGTCAGATGAGAAATCAAAATGCACTGCCTTTGAGGCACTGGAGGTGTCACTGGTTACCTTTTGCAGGGAGAGGTGGGATCGAGAGCCTGAACAGAGAGGGTCAAAGAGAATAGGTTTTGGTAAGAGGCCAGCCAACCGCTAAGGTGACAGCATCCAGAATGAGGAGCAGGGGCAGACAATCTGGGCAGGGGGTCTAGACCACAGTCACGTGGTCTGGGGAGGAGGGCAGAGCTTTGGACCCCCCGCAGGAGAAACTGAAGTGCAAAGAATATAAATTGGGAAGAAAGGAAAAATCCGGAACATGAACCTAGAGAGCTGGGTGGGGAGGAAGGCTCCAGCTTGAGGGCACTCTGGTGCCAGGCTCAGGGTAGTGAGACCCATTCCAGATGCTTCCATTGCGGGAGAGAAGACTGCCAGGTGATTATAATGTGCCACCATCTCCAGTTTATTCCTGGGTGTGGGACTGAGCCAGCTTGGGAGGCGCTTTGAGACCAAGAGGGCTGTGGGGGTATTCAGCCCTGGCACGGAGAGGGCAGTGATTGCTGGGATCTCTGAAGGAATTTGTTGGCTTTCATCAGAAGAGCGATTCTCATAACATTTACCAAAATGAAAATCCTGATTAATTCTGCAGGTTTATAGCTCCCCAGAGGCTGGAGAAAAACATCATTTGGCACAAGAAACAAACTTTATTCTGGCTGCATAGATAATTTTGCCAACACTAGATACTGCATTGCACACATTATCCTGGAATTCCAATTTCCTACATCCATAGAAGGCAAAGAAACACGGTTATGGCCAATTTCCCACACTGCCACCTAGACCCTGTGCTTCCAGGGACCCCTTTTGTTCTGGATTTCCATGATGCCCTGGGCAGATGTGATTTTGGTCAGCCCAGCAGTTCTTTCTTTGGGAAACTGCTTCTATCTCATGATGTGCAGTTTGGATGAGCTGTCAATGATAATAGTCAACCTGACCTCTGCCTGTAGGGACGTGCTCCAGGATTACACAGTTGTAGTAGCTCAAGCCCCAGAAATAGTGATTGGCTCAAGAGGAAGGCATGGAATTAAGAAACAGCCAATTAGGATTATTTTCAGGGTTAATATATAGATAATGGTGAAGTTCTGTCTTGAAGATGCAACTTTAGAAAACGTTGAGTCTGAGTTTATCGGTTGCCATTGTCTTCATACTGTGTGGATAAAGAAGCTTGTTTGTAGCATGAAGTCTAACAGAGATGAGGTAGAGAAGGAGGGTAAGTCGGGGGAGAAGGGGAGAGAGAGAGGGAGACAGGGTGGGAGTGTGGAGAGCCAGAGAGAGACGGGGAGTTCTGTCAACAATATGCCTGGCTCCAGGCCTCCGGGCTCTGGAACTTTCGGTCCTGTGGGTACTCCCTGAATACTTTTGGGGTTATGCTCCTTTGAGTTGGGTTTCTGTCTCTTACAACAGAAAGCATCTTGACCAAGACCCACGGTTTCTCGACAACTTCATGGGAAGGTGGGGGTGTGGGGTATGCACTGGAGAGTGAGGAAGGCGTGGTCAAAGAGTTTGTGAGGCAGCTGTCCCTGGGATGTCCAGGTGTCTGTCTCGGGGTCGTAGCAGTCAAAGGAGGCCAAGTCCTCGATGCTGCAGTCCGTGGTCAGCCGCCGCCCGCCCGTCACATAGAGCTTGTTCCCCATCACCGTGGCCCCATGGTGCATCCTCCGGTCTTTCATGTCCGCACACTTGACAAATTTGTTGGATCGAGGGTCATAAGCAAGAATCCTCCTCGTGTAACCTGAAAACCAATGGCATATCGGCAAGCTCAGCATTGCTCATTTGGGACTGGAAGTCTGTGGTCTGGAAACATGTCTGATCTTTGCCATTGCCCAGTACCAAGGCTGGACTCTGAACTAAGGTGTAGAATGTTTTGGTAACCTGCCCAAGGTCCAGTGTGTGGCAGAGCTGGGGTTTAGACTCAGATCTGTCTGATTCTGACCCCTGAATCCTTAACCTCAAGTTAAGGCAGCATTAGATTGGGAGCAGCCTCCTGATTCTAGCAGCTGTCTCTGTCTCATTGGCTTTTTCATCTCTCTCATATGCCCCTCTCCCCGCCAGAACCTTAACAGTCCAGGGAAGGAACCTTGGGAATTCAGGAACCATTCCCACTACAGCCCTATCCGGTCCCCACCACTTCCCGCTTTTACATTTTACAGATGTGCAAACAGAGGCACAGAAAAAGATTCATAACTTGCCAAAGAGTATACAGCCAGTGACAGAGTCAGGATTTGAACCTAGGTCTGATCCTAAAATCAGTCCTCTTAACCAAGACACTATACTGCAATCGCAGAGAAATGATCCATTAGTGGCTAATATTACTAACAGTAGCAAACATTTTTTGAGTATTTGCCAGGTATCTGGGATAGTGCTAAGTGCTTTAGATATGCGAGCACATTTTCTTATCACAACAAGTCCATGAAATAGGTATTATTTCATTCCTTGTTTACAGATGAAGACTGGGAGAAACTTCTGGATGAGAAAAGAACTTTGTCAAGTCGTCCACACTCCCCTAGTTGGATGGATGTGCTTTTAAAAACACTGTTTTGTAGAACATCTGTCTATTAGTGACCCTTTTTCCATGGGAGATGCCAAGTTTGTGTCCAGCCTAGCCATCCTCTGTTCAAACTCACCTCCTACGATAACAATCCGCTCCCCAAGCACCACTGCAGGGGCGCACACATTCTTGATCATTCTCGTCTCCATTTTGAACCATGTGTTTCTGGAAATGTGATAAACCTGAGGGAGAAATATGATCATGGTGCTGCATTTTAAAGTGATAAATAATTTTTAAAAGATAGGAGTAGTATTGAAGAGATTGAAATAGGATTCTTTTTCTTTTCACTTTTTAAAATGTAGGCAGGTGTATTATTATCAATAAAATGTAATTCAATAACAGAAAACATATATTACTAGAAATTGGTCTTTATGCGACCCCCATGAGATCCTTGGCTCTGTCTCTATAGAACGGACCAAGAGTTACGCATTGTGGTATGTGTTTGCTTACCTTGCTTGGAACATTTTTTTCTTTTAAAGGGAAATGGAGCAACTTGGGTATTCATAAAACCAATGATTTTTCAATCATTTCTATTTCCGGCTCATGTTTAAATTTCTAAATGTTCCCCTGTATCGGAGAGGGCCCTAGAGCCAAGAATACATTTGGGGCTAAGTGAGGAAGGCTTTTGAACAGTTCATGCCTGAAAATCATTAGAATCATAGAGGAAGCACGAGAAAAGAGAACGAGCAAAGAGGGGGGGCAGGGCTCCTTGGCCATGGTCTGAAATAGAGTCACAAAGCATGATTCCTAGAACATGTCCCCTTCAGTTTAAATAAAGTTCAAATATCAAATATAAATTAGTTCCTTACTAGCAAAATTTAGCATGAGAGATTTAGGATGGACTTCATATAAGAAAAGAAGGGGTAAAACATTTATTTACCAAAGAACATGGCAATTCTTTCTATATAAAATTTAATTGCTACTATATGAAAGACTGTATTTTTTATAATTTTACCAAATTTGATCTTCACAACCATCCTATGAAGTAGGTACCATTACTTGCCCCCATCTTTCACATTAGATCATTGAGGCTCAGAGAGGTGAAGTGACATGCCCAAAGTCACACAGCTAGATGGAATGGAAGATATGGTCTGGTTGAGCCCAGAGTCCAAGTTCTTAACCACTGCACTCATGACTCTGCCTGGGGCCGTATAGGGGTGGCCTTTTTTGATGGAGCGGTTTAAGACTGGAGACCTCTTGTGGTCTCTCCATTCTTGAAGTTGGTGAAGCCTAGCCGAGGCCATGTGCCAGAGATGGGGGCAATCTCAATGGCTGTTAAGCCTCACCGTTTCATCTGAAAATACGTAGAGGACACTGGAAAGTGGGATCCTTGGGGTAAAAGTAAACACTGAGTGAGTAATTGCCTCCTGGCTTTCTGTTCTTTGTCAGCAAGCTTGGAGTATGGTTTTAAAGATAGAGTAAACATCTGCGCACAATCCTCATAACACCCCCAAGAGAGGCTGGGGCAAGGATAACAGAGATGGGGCTTGACCAGGGGAGGAAGTGATGCTTTGTTATGGTGAAGGATTTGCTCGATGCCATCCAGAAACAGAGGGAGAAAAAAGGCCAGGGAGAAAGGTACACATACACACATAAATTGCACAGTGACACCACTGTTCAATAGTCCCTAAAAGAATGCATGCGTGCAGAAGAACCATCCTGTAAAGAAAACTGAATCTGTGCCAGAAAATCCAACCTACTCCATCAAGCAACCCCCAAGCTTTGATCTCATGCTATAGTTGAATGAGTAAAATTACCGTTTCAAAGCTAAGGCTAAGTAGACAAGAAAAGCTTACATGAATGCTTTCCCCCTTTTCCCCTTTTCACCACTGCAGTGTAAAAGGATTACTCACGTTAGTGGGTTTTTTTCTGCCTTTGCAAGCATCTTGTTTGATGGTACTATGCATTTTTTCATATGCCAGCTTGAAATATTTTCTGAGCTTTGTATTTATTCTTAGGAAATCAATAACAATTTTGCAATGTGAAGTCGTTAGCATATTTGTTGACTTCATTTTGAAAAGTATTTTTTTTTTTTAAGGAGGGAGGGGTTCTAGCTTTACATAGCAGCCATTTGTTACATCTGCATTGTGTGGCCAGAGCTTGGTGGGGAGCAGAACACGATTCTCTTGGCTCAAATAAATGAGCGGGATTTGGAATAGAATCCAAATCTGCCTAGATGGTCAGAGAAGAGCTGAAAATATGGGCTGGGGAAGCGAGGGCAAGAACAAACAAGGATTAAATTGAAGCTTGTTACTCTTCTCCATCTCCACTGGCACCAACTTAGCCCAAGCCACCTGGCTGGACCTCTAGGACAGTCCCTCAACTCTCCTCCCTTTGTCCACTCAGGCCCCACCAATCCCTTCTCCATAAGGCATCCCGAGGAACTCCTAAAAATGCAAATTTGATGACTTCAGCTACCCTGTTACTCTCAGGCTATAACCCCAATTCCTTGACAAGGTCTAGAAAACCTGCCAGGTCAGCCTCATCTCCACAAACACCCCCCCCCCGAGAACGTTCCAGAATTTCTGTAGTAGGGGCTCAGGGGCAGCAGTCTGGGTGGAGGGGTCACTCAGGGCAGCTTGAGGAGGGGGCTGGTGGAGATCACGTGGGGACTAACCCCTCCTCCCCAGCTCGGCTGAGGCATACCACCTTTATGCCTCCCTGCTTTGTGTCGCAGCTACACGCTCAGGCTGTCAGTCCCTCCAGGTGACGGGCTATGCCCCTTTCTGCTCCAGAGCCTTCAGTCCAGCTGTTCCCTTACTCAGGAACAACCACCTCAACAGAGGACTCTGCCTCTGCTCAGAGAAGCTTCCTGCCCCTGTCTCCATCCAAGTCATGTCCTTCTATCTTCCCAGTGATTCTCCCTCTTCATTTACCCACCTTCTCTCTTCTCTTGCCTCCCTGTTCGCGTCCGCACAAACCAACCTCGAAAGTTCACACCACCCCCGATTCCCTCTAGACTGGTTTAGGGCACGCTCCGTGCTCCTGAAGCCCCCCTCCAGTCAGCACCTGAATTGCAATTGTCCTGAAGCTCCTGGAGGGTAAGTGCGTGTTCCTGCTCATGCTTGTGTCCCCAGGGCTCTTATCGGGGCTGGGGCTCAAGATAGCTCTCATCAATGAACAAAGCAACAACCAGGGATCTCCTGGATCATCTTTAAAGACAGGCTCATTATTCAAGTTTGTCATATCATTACATGAGCTGCAGAGATTGGAACTTGCATAAAATGCTTAATATTCTGCAATTTTGGTCTCTATTAAGAACACTTCTCAGAGAGCTTGCTAGTGATATTAACATCTACCTATCACTTAAGGTCAGGGCTCCCCAACCTGGCTGCTCCTTAGAATGTCCTGGAGACGTCTGTAACAGGTATATGTCAGGACCCCAAACAAAGAGATTTTGATTCAGCTGATCTGAGGTTGGGTTCCCAGGAACTTGGTAACAGACTGTGGACCAAAGCTTGGGAATCTTCTTCTAAGGTCTTGCTGATTTGGGTTAGAGGCATCTGCAAAATTCCTATAGAACTTCACTATCTGACATTCAATGTGTTTGAGCTTGAACTTTTATTTTTTTTTTTTTGAAGTTTTAGACATACTAATTTTATTCCTCAAATAAAGATAAACTCTTTGTGGACAGGGGTTGTATCTGACATTCCTTTGTATGTGTTAATCTTACACAACAAGAATTCATAAATGGATAAAGTCTTGCTGAATTTAAACTTCCTTCTTTCCTTCCTCCCTTCCATCTTTCCTCCCTCCTTTATGTTTCCTCTGCAAATGGTAATGTGTATTATATGTATGAGTGCATGCACTCATGCACGCATGTATCCATGTATGTGCACAGGCACACATGTATATGTGTGTGCACACATGCACATGTGTGCATGCATGGGTGTACCCTCATGCACTTCCATGATGGGAGGGACCAGCCATTTACCTGGATAAGGCGTACAGGATTCTGCATGATGTCCTCTCCCCCAAAGAGGTAGAGTCTTTGGTCTTTCACAGCGACAGCAGGGTGGAGAACCCCCACTGGCATGCTGGCCATACTCTCCCAGATGTTGAAGATGCTGTTATATCTCTCCATGGAGCCCATGACCTCTTGCCCTTCTCCAATGCCCCCAATGGAGAAGATGAAGTTCTTATGGGCAGTGCTTCTGTGGGAGTAGCGGGCCACCAGCATGGGCTGCCCCAGCCTCCACTGGTTAAGCTTTAGGGAATAGATGTAGACGTTGTGGCTGGGCACGTTCTTCCCTGCCCCGACAGCCATGCCTCCCAGCACGTAGATGCTGCGGTGCAAGGTGATGGCCGAGGCCTTGTACAGCCGGGTCGGGAGTTTGGCAAGGTTCTGCCACTGGCTGGTCTGTCTGTTGTACAGCAGAACATCCCTGGTGGTCTGCTGGTTGTCCTTCCTCCCACCCAAGAGGATGAGGAAATCTTGGTAAGAGGTTCTCGGGGGGACATGCCATGGAGGCTGGAGGTCTGGGGCACTGGCGGTGCTATACGTGGCAAACATCTGCCTCTTGGCCATTTCCAGGATGGTCTGGCATGAGGGCGAGGACTGCAGGAGGGCATCGTTGGCGATGAAGTGGTGGAAGAAGGCCGGGTGGATGTACTGAAGCCTGACCTGCTTGAACAGCTCCTGCACGTGTCGTTTCCGGGCCTGGAGGTCATGCTTGATCCAAACCATGAGGGCCTCAAACACCTTTTCCTCCTCCCCACAGAGCCCATCATCCCCCAGGTAGTCTCTCAATTCCAAGGCACAGAGCTCCTTCAGGTCGGCCGAGGCAGCCACCTCTGGGAAGCACGTCAGGGCCACCTCCCTGGCTTTCTTCTTGAGGGTCTCACAACTTAAGATTTCAGAGAGTCGCATCATGCCCAGGCAGTTGTTGGGGGTCAGCTGGCTCTGGAGGTAGGAGGAGCAGGCCTCCAGCAGCTTGGGGTACTGCAGCATGGAGGCTGCCTCCATCAAAGGCAGGGCATTCTCAGCTGTGACGTGCACCTCCCCAGTGTACACATACGAGATGATCTGGTCCAGAGTCGTGGAGTCGATGCCTTTCAGCTGGACTTTGGCCTCGCTTCTCTCCCGGAAGTTGCTGCAGAACATGGCCCGGAAGTAGGGGCTGCTGGAGGCCAGCACACTTCGGTGGCAGGGGACCTCGCAGGTCCCGGTACAAATGCTCACATCAGTCAGCATCCTGTTTTGCCTCAGACCATTGAGCTGCCTCAATAAGTCAGAGGAGAAGTCGTGGTCTTTGAAGAGCAGCCCATCTGGCAACTCCTCGTCCATCCTGCAAGGAGGGGGAGAGGTCCCAAGGGGAAGCATGTGCTGAAGGGTTTAGCTGTGGTGTCTCCAAGACTCAGAGCACCTATGTCCATTCACTAAGATGCTTGTGGATATTGCCAAGAATGTTGCTTAGTGAAGATTGGAAAGAGAGTCCACCTATACCCCAGACCTCACAGCCAACACCTCTCTTTTTGGTTATGATTACTCCCAGAGGTAAGAGGCAAAGAGCATCTTCAGATAATCTGAGAAGAAGAAAAAAAAAAAGAACCACCAACATTGTTGGAAGTTACCTGATGGTCACGGGCTGAAGCAAAGTGACAGTCCATGCATTTGACCAGCCCAAATCCGTGAGCCTTGCTCCAGCTTCTCAGCATATCTGTTATTTAGTAAACTCATGTAAGCATCTTTCTGGGTGTTAGTCATTCCCCCAGGAGTCATTCTGGGGGCGTGGCCCTCTGGTAACCAGACAGTACTGAAGGATGAAAATGGGCCTTTGCAGTTTATTTTTTAAAACACAATTTCACAGAGTCTTTGGGGTTTTGTTTTAGAGATGTGACAAAGAGAAAGCAGAGACCAAACAATACTCTGGGCAGGGTTTCTTGGATGACACCTGGCAGTCTACCTGTAGAAGAATTAAGCATTAGAGATCTTTACCTTGGTTTGCCGCGGTGACATCCACCGATGCCTGGTCCGGCTGGTCCCTCCGGAGAGCCTCCACCTCTGGCTCCAAGTAAAACCATAAACCCAGGCCTTTCCTTCAGTTGGCAAATGATTTGTCTTGGGAGAATTCTGGATTTGTTTATGCGAACGGTGCTTTCGCAGTTTTCTAGAACTTCGGGAAAGAAGCACTGGGCAGGGAGACAGTGTATACATTCCAGGGCTAAGAATAGTTGCATATGTACTTTCCACTGTTATGACATGTGACTCTCCAGTTGCCTTTTGCAGCAACCCTAGGGCCTGCAGGGCCAGCGCATGCCCACATGCCTTGTTTCCTTGGCAAGTGTTTACATCGGCATAAATAGATCTGGAGGAACAGCTTCTCTTTGAGAAGACTTTGCTGCCCACTTGGACACATCTCGGGTCCCTTGTCCTAAAAGTGCCTGGGAATTCTAGATGTTTGTAAACAGGTTGCTGTGACCTGGGACAGTCACTGAAGACCATTCTGGGCAAGTTGAAGGTGATGGATGGTCTTAGGGAGGCTGGGACATGGGCCCGAGGGTTCTGTTTGGTGGGTCTCTTCTTTCTCACTGTCTGGGGGCAGGATCGTTGGAGAGGGTTGTGATTTCTGCCTGCAACCTCTGAGGGGATGAAGTCTATAACAAAAGTTGTTTTTAATATTTGTGGAGCACCCCAGAATTTCCAGACGCAGGAAAGATCAAACCTTTGTTGGTCCCCCTGTTGCCAGGGGCTTCTGTTGTAAAGTGGCAAGGGGCCTACTCTTCCAGGTCATCCCTGCCTCTCACAGACACATGCTGATTGCTCTTCAGTTTTTTTTTTTTTAAAGAATTTTTTTATTTGATAGAGAGAGAGAGAGAAAATGAGTGGGTGGGGGAGGGGCAGAGCAAGAGGGAGAAGCAGGCTCCCTACTGAGCAGGGGGCACGGGGCTCGATCCCAGGACCCTGGGATCATGACCTGAGCCGAAATCAAGAGTCAGACACTTCACCGACTGAGCTACCCACGCGCCCCCCTTCTGCATACTTCTAATATTATATGCCTCATACCCTCACTGCAATTATATTTACCTGTCTGTGTCCCTCCTATTAGAATGGAAGTGTCTGGACAGGAAGAACCTCGTCGCAGTTGGTTCTCTAGCCCTAGGGCCTGGCCCAGTGGCTGACACAGAGTGGGTAAATTATGTGTAGTTCTTGAACTGAGCATAACAGAACGGAGATTAGGAAAAGAGAGGGAGCACTGTTAGGTTGACTTCCTATCCCCCCACCCCCACCGCCACCCCCGTATAGGTTTGGCAGGGCAGTCATGTACCGTTTGGTACATGTCCATTAGACTGCACTGTAAATGGTGCTCTGGAGTAGTCTGGAGGTCCCTCCTTTCAATCAAATCCAATAACATGATAAAGAGAACAGTAAAACAACTGCTTTACACCACAGAGCAAGAGTTATTGAGTTCAAGGTTGAGAACTGATCTGAAGTCTTCCCAGCCCCAGTGCTAGTGCTTTAGTCCTTAGCCTCAGAGTCAACACAAGGGAAAAATAACTTCCGTATTGCTCGGAAATGCCTGTCTTATTTCTCCTCCAGCTAGTGGGCCAACCAAGGGTTTGTTGTGAGGACAATAGGTAGGGATTTCTGGGAGTGAGCTAATATGGCACTCTCCACTGGCAGGCATCTTGGAGCTTCCCCTATGTTCTCTAACTAATTAGACCTTCTGGAATCCAGTCCTGTCAAGTATTCAGAGGAGCCCTGGTGTGCAGTATCAGTGTCTGACCAACTTTAATAAATCCTCTGGCTTCTAAGGTTTAGAAAAAACAGGCCCATTCCTTCGGCCTGGCCTGCTAGGAGAATTCTGGCTCTACATTAAATGTCAGGAAGAGACAAATCGCGTCTTGGTGTTTACCTCAAAGCAAACACACACAAATAACCCAAGCCCAATCCAAAAACCATTATCTACCACCCACATGTAACCCCAACCAACCTACTTTCAATTCATGAATCTATTTGTCTTTGAGAGTTCTATACTTGGGCGCCTGGGTGGCTCAGTTGGTTAAGCGACTGCCTTCGGCTCAGGTCATGATCCTGGAGTCCCTGGATCGAGTCCCGCATCGGGCTCCCTGCTCAGCGGGGAGTCTGCTTCTCCCTCTGACCCTCCCCCCATCTCATGTGCTTTCTCTCTCATTCTCTCTGTCTCTCAAATAAATAAATAAAATCTTTAAAAAAAAAAAAGAGAGAGTTCTGTACTTTTCATCTTAACATTGTGTCCTGACTTTCTCTGGGAGATGTCTTAGTTTAGGGTCTGAACATATGGGAACCCAAAATAAATGAGGACTTCAGCTCCTTGCCCCTCCTTTCAGTGAAAGTCAGTAGCATAACGAGTCAAGACTCAGGCTTTGATGGCAGGAAGACTCTGGAGAATCGACATTTCTTCCCGGCATCCAGATGGTCTTGGGCAAGTAATTTATATTCTTCTAGCCTTACTTTGTCCATCTGTTAAATGGGGATAACCAACCTTGTCACAAAGAAATAATGTATGTGAAGCATCCAGTCAAGTGGCCGGCACAGTGTAGGTTCACAGTAAATTATGGTTAGTATTATACTATGGTTTGTGTCCTGAGGCGGCCAGAGAAGGAACAGTGAGAGGCTGAGCCTCAGCAAAGGGACCTCCTCTGAGCTTCTATACGTACATCTCTGGCCTGAAGCCAGAAGCTCCGGCCTCAACACCAGTCAAGCTGCCAACTGGTGTTCTTTATATTTTGCTATTTCAAGTACGTTCATAAAGCCCTAAGTTTCCTCATAGAGTTTTGCATTGACATTACAGGGCACTTAGTCTCAAGAGGCCTCTTTCCTGTCTGGGTGCCCTGGGCTTGGGCACCCGAGGAAAGGCAGACTGGTTCAGGTCAGCAGCAGATCTGACAGCTACAGCCTAGGAAGTCACAAAATGTCCTCCATTATGCCGTGTCCCCCTAACACCCCTCGGGGGCAGGCCTTACTTTCAGCAGCAAACCAGGGCTGTGGTGGTGCCCAGGAGCTGGGTTTCCAGAATGCAGGGACGTGCAAGGCTTTGTGACAGCTTCTTGGTGACTGGTAGGCTGTCTACCAGTCTAAGAGAAAAATGAGGTTTCGGTGAATTGGATCATTAAAAGCTAAAGGAAGGAACTTGACTCCTGCTATATGATTAAAAACTTTTCTATGTATGTCAATGCCAGTCTATCGGTGTCTGTATCTATTTGGCTGGATGTGTTTTTTTAAACCAGCTTGTCGAAAGCTGAACAGGGACTTTGTACTCCAGACAATGGCCAAAAGAGGGTCTGCTCCTTGATCCCAGGGTTGCCATGACGACTGTCCTCTGGGAGCTAAAAGTCTGGCGCTACTTTTACTAGGCTAGTAGTGCAAATGACTGCATCCCCAACGCTTCCTCCACCCTGCCCCCCACACCAGAAAATATCTTTTTTCCCCCTTGGGAGGGCAAGGGGGAATAAAGGGCTGACAGAGACAAGGTTAGGACTGTTGGTGGATTATTGGTGTATAATCCAGCTGTCTGCCCTGCCTTCTCCCCACAAGCTCAAGTCTGACCTCACACTTCATTTATGCCACAGATCAGCTTTCTGGGCTCTAAGTCAAATCGAGAAGAAAGAAATAATGTGATCAAGGATGCATTCTTACTCTCCCGTTTTAGCACTGTGAGTCACAAAGAATAATACACTGCCTTGGCCTCTCTGCTCCCCAGGGCAGGCACTCCCTGATGGTGAGACAGGCATTTAGGCAGGAACAACACTCCCTCCAGGCCCCCCAGCCATGGTTTCAATTTGCTGCTGTGGTATAGAAGGTGGATGACCTACAGAGAGAGCGTGAACTTTATTCCTTTAGAGGTAGGATTAATTAGGATCCTTAGGGGAAATGCAAATTGAGCAAGGTAAGGGTCTAATTAACCAATGGTCCATTTACCTATCTGTTTGTCCATATATCCATCCATCCATCATCTATCCATCCATCCATCCTTCCATCTATCCATCCTTCCATCCATCATCCACCTATCCATCCATCATCCACCCATCCATCCATCATCCACCTATCCATCATCCAGCCATCCAGCCATCCATCCAACAGTCTATCCAGTAAGACAGAGAGACAGAAAAGGTCCCTGCCTTTGTGGTGCTTAGAGTCTATAGGGAAGACAGACAAATAAATCATTTAAGTGTTCTAAGTGTTCTGATGGGAAGCCTTCCCCAACTTTCTTCCTTCCCACTTCCCACCCCACCCACCATGAATCCCAGGACCCCATAAATGGAGAAATTAAACATACATCTTTGAAAGGCTCTCACATCAGACAGAATGTGTTTCCATCTCTTTCCTGTCGTATAGCTCCTTGGCGGCAGGGATAAGTCTTACTCCCTACCCGCTTATTAGGAAAGGTAGAGAAGTAAAATGGAACGGGTTGACAGAGACTGACACTGGACTGTTTACTTTTGCCTTTTTCAGACTGTTTATATTTTTACTAGTGGCTTTCTTTTAAGTTTTTCCAAAAAAAATTTTAACCTATGTTTTTCTAAGGATCATAGGTAAAAATAAAATAATACTTTTGGACTCCCTGCTAGGTAAGAAAAAGAATCTGAAACCTGTTTACTTATTTTTTCCTGGCCTTTGTAAAGATGACCTGGAATTTAAGGCCCTGATTGTTATCACCAAATTATTTTTTATTCTATATCTTATCTTTTATGAATGGCTTTGTTATTTGCCTTTGAATCCTATTTACAGACTAAGGTCGGTGCTTGGCTGATTTACATTTTCACTGCTAGTTCTTTTATGCCATAGTTTCTTCATTTTTAAATACTTAATTCTGACCCATCTTTTGACCAACTGGATTTCATTGACTTGCAATATTTTTTAGGGACAGTATGAGAGAGGTGTATTTTTCCAAATCCTTCCTAATCAAAGATTCTCTTTTTGTTTCCTATCATCCGCAAACAACAACTTGGCTAGGTATATCATAGTTTAGGATCCAACATTTTTTCTTCAACATTTTCCAAAAACCACTCATTTTATTCTGGGAAGACTGTAGAGCTACAGAGAAGAAACGTCATAACTGACTAATTTATATCCTTTTCTATTTTTTAAACTTCTTTTTTCTTTATCCTTTTAATTAAAAAACTGCCAGGATGTGTCCAGGGGT